TGAGTTATAGTGTTCAGCGTGTCACTGACCTAGTCATAGAATTCCAGCCAACTGTGCACGTGGTCAGGGGCTCGAGTGTCAGATGGCTCCTTTGGCTGTTTGTAAGCCCTATAAAGACGGAAGGCTGGGTGTGTGAGGCTAGCAACCTCACCACTGCTACTGAAACTTCAAAACTGAAACTTCAAGCTCCATATTCCACTGCGAACGAAAAGAAATTAGAGAAAGAGATAATGTGCCCACTGAGATACGAACCCCAACAACCATCGCTGCAAACTCTTAAGCCTTATGCACTAGATCACAAAAGTCATCTCTTGTGCAACGGATATCAGTTTTTATACTGTTGAAGTTAATTTCTATCTTCCACTGACTATCGTATGTACATGAATCACAATATTTGTGTCTTGGGTATTTGTATTATTTTAGCGTGTTGAAGGGGATGTACTATTACTACAGATAGATTTATCAATTTTAATAATCAACTTTTGACTTTGACCTATTTTTGGAATGTTACATGTTGTTTCATTACAATAATGTACCACATCTGCTGATAGATCACATATTATTAGTATTTTAACATATAATAACAATAAAATTTAATTTTATAGGGCATCCATCTATCTGTCTATCAGGTTCAGTTCATTAACAAGCCATTAACCTTTAATTAAATTTAAACGTTATACATTCAATATATTTTGAAAACATTTTGAATTAGTTGCGTTCTCCGAGCTGGCTGATTTATTTGTGAAGCTTTCGTCGTCCTTCTGGACAACATGTTCAGCGCAGGTTTTAGTTTGAAATGAACTCATTTGAATTCTTCATGAATGATATAATTGTCTCCTGGCAACCATCTTCGTGACATCTCTATTGATCATTTTTACTGACTTGGAATTTGAACTTTCTTGTCATATGATTTAATTTTTATTAGCTGGTAAATTTGATCTATATTAATGTGTTTGTTAATCGCTGGCTGATTCATTTGAGTACCTGGCTTCTAGAAATTCTCTGGCATTGCTTTTGGTGTTTCCTCCATTTAAAATCTCTACATTATCTCAATCATCAAATTGGTGTCCATTTTTATCTACATGCATTGATATAAAAGAATATATATCATGCCATTTTACAGCTAATTTGTGTTCTTGGATTCGGATTCGAAGGGAACGCCCACTTTGACCGATGTAGTGTTTGTCACAATTTATGCAATTTATTTTGTAAATAGTACTGATCTTATCTTCTTTCGCTGTTGGATCCTTCGGTCTGCACAATGTCGAATGAAGTCATTGTGATGGCTGGCTTGTGTGCTATATCTATTTCAACCGGTTTTAATATTCTAGCTGTTATCTCAGAGATATTCTTTATATATAGGAGAGTGAATTTCCTTGATGGTTTCCTGTTGGCGTTACGACCTGAGTTTAAATATTTTTTGATGAAAGTGTATGAGTATTCATTATTTTTGAAGACGGTTAGTAGGTACTTCTATTCTCTTAAGCATTGGATTGCTACATTCTGTATGAACTCTTCTAAACAATGTCTGCACACAGCTTCTTTTGTGAGTCACTGGGCTATTGCTATTATGGTTGAGTATTTGGTCTTTGTGCGTTGATTTGCTATGAATTTTTATTTCTAAATTTCCTGTGTTAGTTTTCCTGATTAAATTAGCCAGCTTAAAGAAAGAACACGAATAATTCAAATCATCCACCTGAGCTACATGTCTTCTCTATTATGTAATAAATTTGTATAAACTGGGGTAAGACGCTAAGTGAAAGACGAGTTTAGCTACACATTCTGAAAACTCAGCATATTTTGCCTGTTATTTTTAGGTTGATACCTATTCACGCTTATATTTCAGTCGCAGTATCATTCTTGTATATAGTCCCAAAGCGACAGTACACTGAAAAACACCCGATGAACATTTAACAATACTGCTGAAAAAATGTATAACATTATGACTATTTGTCATATACTTACTCTATTGTCGGGTTATGAAATTCGAAGTTGAACAGTTAGTTAATATTATATTATAAAGAATATTAGTCAGACTGAAGTGAAGCGCTTAACTTTTGTATTCATCTTAGTCGGCTTGTGATGAAAAATGTGATAACTCACCGCCAGTAACAAAAAGCTACTATCATACAGTCAATATGAGCACTGGATTGAACAGTGGTATATAGCATTATGCCTATATACTTGTTTTCTTGATTGCCATTTATAGCATCGAGCGGATAATACATTATAAAATGAATAATTTCCGTTCTCAATGGGAAATGTGTTGAAATTTTACCTCCTCAGACTGTGAAAATTAAAAATGACGAATTCATTTGAATATTGTGAATTTGCTTTATAGTCATTTGGCTCAGTTAGATCGCTAGAAATCAGGTGATGGTTGTATGAGGTTATTCGGCTGTCTGATTTTAGTCAAGCTGACAGCGTAGCTGATAAGTTCCGCCCAAAGGAGTAAAGCGATCGTCTGGTATTTAGGCCACTTCAATCTGGCTAGCAAGAATTACTGGCTAATGTAGGTTTTTTTCATCTATTCACTTCAATCAATCAGAAGTTTATGACGTCACACATAGACTTTTTCAGTAATCGTTTACTTTTTCATTTAAAACAAATCATTATTGGGAAGTTAGCGTTACGATGTATTGTTACATATATTATTGTACTAATACTTTATTATTATTACTCTCTTGGCTTCCTAGTGGAAAATAGGTCTTCAACAACACATCTTCACTATCTTCTATTATCTGCTGTCCTCTTCCTCTGAGTCCACGATTGCCCATAATCTCTCGTCTCCTCCTCCTCATTATAAGATCTCCTCCACGTCGACCTCGCACCAACAACCCACTCGTCGCTTCCTATTAAAATTCCACTCGGACAATGTTCTGCATTGCGCGACATGCCATTTGATGGTCTCTTCAACCTATACCCCATCCATATCAATTGTTTTATCCTTCATATTTGTCGAGCGATTGCCTCTTGGATGGTTTGTTTCCAGTAGGAGTTCCTTATTGCTAATTTTTTTCTGGCCAGCTGGTTGGCCATTTGATCTTCACTATGCAGCCAGAGAGGGGGCAGCTGTTGATAAAAGTCTGCAACTAACTGTTGAAAATGCTTTTCGTGTCACGAAGTGCAAGTTTTTGACCCGTATGGAAGAACTGGCCGACTTCCCATTGGTGTTGAAAATCCGAATCCTGTTCTTTATGCTGACTGAGTACAGTGCAGAAGATTTTCAAACTGGTTTCAGGTTGATGAAGTCGTATCCTGACTTTCCGATTCTGGCTGACTTTGACATCGTCATCCGTTCTGCCTGTAGTTGAAACCGTGCTTCCTGACCAGATAAGTGAGGAAATTAACCTCTGTCAAATTTCTCCCTTTGATGGTCACTGGTGCTGGTTGTTATTGGTTGGTTGGTTATCTTCATCACCTCCTTATTCTCTGTGTTCACCTGGATTCCTGTCCTCGTTTCCAGCCTCTTCGGCCAGTTGGTTGGTTTTCGACTTTGTGTGACATTAGACGTATATCGTATGCGAAATCCAGATCTTCTAGAGTCTTCTTATTGGTGGTCCAGCGTATTCTTGTCTCCTTGCTCCCCCTAGTCTCACGCATGATCCAGCCCGCCACAATTAAGAATATCATCGGTGATAATAGGCAGGCAGCCTTGTCTTACATCTGTACTCACTTCAAAGCTTTCACTTAGTTTCCCGTTGTGGATCACCTGACACATGGCATTGCCATATAGACAGCTGTTGCATGAAATTGATAAAGATTTGGGCACTACACGCCGTAGTGTTGAAGTAGTTTCCAAATTACTTCTCAATTAACGCTGTCTGGTGAAGGCCTTTTCGAAGTCGATGAAGCTGGGGTGGAGACAGGTTTAACTGCCATTCTATGCTTTGTTCGATGATGATGATGCACAGATTTGCAATTTGATCAGCATATGATTTACTTTTCCTGAATCCAGCTTGTTCTAATAATATATTATTATTATCATTCGTTACTCGCTTTTAAAGTGGCACATGAAGCTTCATCGGAACATTCTCATTGCACTTGGTTCTTTGCCATCAATTGTAGTTACCTCCACGACTATCCGTAAACTTCCACCTCTTATTCACATGATCTTCTCCATTTTACCTTTCGATAGCTGATCTGTTCTATGTATCCTATATTAATAATCAGGGATGTTACGTGACCCAATTGCTTCATTTAATATTTATAATTTGTCTTTTCAAAAGTTTTCAATAAAATTGTATCATGAGATTGATGGTTTTAATAAAAAGTGATGAGATTGATGATAGACGACCAAAGTTAGCTGATATAAGATTTGGTTGATAAAGAGTTAAAGGTGATCAAACCAAAACATCTCATCGATCTATGATATACGTGACAGTTGCTTCAAATTGTACGTGGAGGTATAGACTGCCTGGTTGGGGTCTTCGGGATTCCAAACAGCAATGACTGGAAAGTATTGACGAAATGGCTCAATGTCGTTCTCAGTGGTGCGTATGCATTCGCCTCCTAGATCCATTAAACTCAAGTTTTTCATGTTTGTCCTGTACATTACTGCTCATTATAGTTCTTTTGAATTTCATTTTTCTTTCTTTTCCCTACGTTTGAACGCAATACAGAGTGTGCCAACTTGAAATGCTGCAGTCGTGCGCAAAGGTGTATACTGAAACTCAGTTAGTCAGTTCTGAGGATCAATTATTTTTCATCTTTCATAGATATGTTACTGTGGAACATGATACTTTTCTAACATAATAACTGACCACTCAACTCTTGGAATCTCAGCCCCCTCTGCAGTACGAATGCACTGGAATGAGTATTTCAGGTACTACTGGCAACTATCACTGAGCTGTATCAGAAACTCGACCATTTTATTGATAACTTCTTATTTATCCTAATACGTCATTGACAAGTTTTCCATTATTTGTTAACTAAACTAAAGGATTCTTTCTCCTTACTCATCTTAATCCCAAATTTTTGTTTCATTTATCAATTTACAGTTCCCGGAGTATATACAAGGAGTGTCACTGCCGGATTTATTATCTGTCAACAATTCAAATAACATTGAATTTACAGTTAAAATTTTGCCGAATGATACAACTGTCTCTTTAACAGATGTCAACTATTGTAAACGCTTGGTAAAGAAAATTACTTTACTCTATTGAAGGCTTAGTGTATATATTGTTTTATAAATAGTTAACTAACATGAATATAATAATCGATAAACATAACTTGCATAGTTAAAGTATTTAAATTAACACAAATTCTTCCAGTATTTTTTTTATGAATTTTATTCCTAAACGTTCTGAGTGAAACATTGGGCTTCAGGCTAGAGCTTTGAAGTTTTGTTAGCAGTGATTTTTTGTTTTACGGGGTGTAGTTACTAGCCTCACGCCCAACCTTCCCTCTTTACCGGGCTTATTACCAGCTAAGCAAGGTTTAGGAGTGCGGCGACCGAGGATCAACTTTCGGATCACCTGAGTGGTTGGCGAGCATAGAGGAAACTATTTCAACCCTATGGCGTACCCTAGATCTTTATCAAGTTCATTCAACAGCTATACAACCTTGCCACATACCAGGTGATCTACAATGGAAAACTCAGTGAGGCGTTCGCAGTGAATACAGGAGTAAGATAAGGCTGACAACTGTCACCGATGTCATTTCTAATTATGGCGAACTGGATTAAACGGCACACCATGCGTGGAGAGAAAGAAAATAGGAATAGGTTGGACCAATGGGAAGAATCTAGAAGATCCGGGTTTCATGAAGATTTATGTCTAGTGTCACATAAATTCGAAGACTTACATGAGAGACCCAACAATTTGGCAGAAGAAGCAGCCAGAGAAGACAGGACTTCAAGTAGACATAGAGAAGATGTAAGTGATGAAGATAACAAAATAACCAACAACAACAACAAGTACCAATCACCATCAACGTAGAAAATTCGAAATGGATCAGCTCCTTCACTTATTTCAGCAGCATCATTTCGACAACAGGCGGCATGGATGGGGATTTAAAAGGGATGGATGGAAAAGCAAAATAGACTTGCAGTCAGTTTGAGAATTTTCCGCATTAAGACTGCAGAACCAGATGCGAATTTTCAACACCAGTCATAACTCAGTTCTTCTATATTGGTCAGAAACTTGGCTCATGCGTCACGAAAAGCATTTGTAAGAGGCTACTGTAGGCTTTTATCAACAGCTGTCTTCTCTGGCTCTATAGTGAAGATCAGTTGGCTGGCGAGGAAAGTTTATCAACAAGAAACTTTGGAAAAGAATCAATCAAGAACTGATTGTTCAACAAAATGCCGAGGAAAATGGAGGTGCCAAGGGGAATGAAGATGGATTGGATGTACGCTGACGTGACACTTGGGTGATATTACCGACTGAGATCTGGATGGGAAACGTCTAACTGGGCGTGCGCCTGAGGATGACATGGAGATGATCGTGATGAGAGTTTTTGGGCAATCGTGAAGCCAGCTAAAACAGACTACAAAGAACAGAGCGAAGCTCTAAATTCCATTCGTAATCTAAGAGAATAATAACTTAATATGTATATACTTTATCAATCAATAATATTTATGTAATTTTTGCATTTGGCTCACAGGAGAAGAGTAATAACAATCATTTACTCAAAAAGGAATTAGCCACACTGACTATAATGCTTAAGATTGGTAATCAATAAACTGCAATAAATATTCATTAGCAGAGACATAAAATTAAGACAGACATAAAGTTAATTACTGGTAAATGATAAGAAACACGGCATCTCAGTGATTATTATTGTTAATATTATTATCAGGATTATTCAGTAGCAGGGTTGCCTAAATGCTTTGTGAAAATGCAACTTGTAAAAGCTTATCAAAATAATTATAAAGAAAACGAACCTGAAAAGTATTGTATAGTGAAATATATTTATGGCTGTTGGATATAGTGAATAACGCTTTTATACATGAGTGCTTCAATGGCGGAATGATCGCCAGTCATGCAGGAGGTCTATATCTCATTCCCAGCTAGTGCACTCCAAACCCTCACCTGGCTCGGTACCGGTAGGTAGTAAGCTCGGGAAAGAGGGGAGGTTGAGGGTAAAGCTAGCAATTGCACCTCTCAAAGTACAAATTCACTACCTCTAAGAGTAAATCCTAAGCCCTTATACTGTGCTCAGAAGAGAAGAAATGAAAAAAGGAAAACGTCTTAGACATTTGGTGTAGATAAATGAGAGACTGATAATGTCTCTTATATTGTGTGTAAAACTACTGCATAAATGAATCGGAAACTATCCTTTGATCTGGTTACATGATTTCATCATGAGCTGACATCAGTTAGAGAACCACTGAAAAACCAGCTGGGAGTACTGGACAGCTGTTTCGTCCTAGTCTGGAAATCTTCAGCAGTACTCACCAACCGCCAAGGTTCTAACCCAGAACCTTCTGGTTACAAGGCAAGCTCGTAGACCATTTAGCCACTGGGACCCGATCCAATGGGCAGCCCATGAATTCTAACTTCTGCCAATTCACGATATAGCGCAACTGCTAGCCAATGTCTTCGACGAGTATTTGTCCTCAGTGGCTTAATGGTCTACGAGCTTGCCTTGTAACCAGAAGTCCTGGGTTCGAACCCGGGGGTGCGTACTGATGAAAAGTCCCAGACTAGGATCAAACAGCTGTCCAGTACTCCCAGCTGGTTTTCCAGTGGTTCTCTAACCAATGTCAGCTCATGGTGACATCCTGTAACCAATCAACCAAATCCCTACAAACCAATACTTGAATATCCTTTGAACTCCTGTAAACTTTGGCCCAAGTGATTGGATAGTTATCGAGCTTGATGTTGTAATCTGAAGGTCTTGCGTTCGATTCCTGATGGGGTCATGGGTGTGGACTGTTGAAGAGCCCCAAACTGGGACGAAACAGCTATCCAGTATTCCCTGGTTTCCTGTACACTTTGCTAAACTGAATCTTATTCAGAGGATTTAGTATTTTACAGTATAACCATAGTCTCAATTTTTAATGCTAACCCATGGTGATGTTATGACCCAATGAAAGAAGGCACTAACTCCTGGAAAATTACATAAGTAATTAAGAAACTGTATGGTTATTCCACATATTTATGTGATTATTGCTTATTAATAATAAAGTAGACTTCATCATTATCTTCTAGAGTATGTAGCTCAGTCGTTTGACAATAATGTTTTATTTATTTGGAGGATTAATCACCTTTAGGTGAACAGATACTCTTAAATTGATCAACTATATTTATACATGTGAGAATTTTCTTGATACTACAGTAATATAACTATATTTAATATATCCCCGCTTCTTTTTTGGATGATTAGTTTTCAGCGAATGCTGAAGCGCTATGTCTATTTCAATACTCTTATGACACACTGTTGAGCATAAAAAACGATTCTTTTACAAATAGTGGTGATAGCAACAAAGATAACCTGCTCAATGGGAAGAGGATGCCTTATTTAACAAGATCATTCACTCAACAAAGACCAGTATTAATAGCTAAACATATAAAAAAGAATAATGATTTAATTCAAAAAGATTCATGGTTTATGAATGCAGTGTACTTCTTGTATGCATTCCATTCATCTATATGGTCATTGATTTTACTGTATGCATTAACGGTAAGTGATTACTTAAACAACTTTTAGTGATAATTTTGTGCTAATTGTATATATTATTATTATTATCATTCCTTTGGGTTCCCGGTGGCTTCAACTGTTCCTCTCCACTTTGTCCTGCTCTCTGCAGTCCTCTTCAGCTAGCCTGGCGATTGTTCATAGGCTCTCATCTCCTCCTCATAAGATCTCCTCCATGTCGCCATGGGGCCCATGTCCAACTTGTCGTTTCCCACTTGGGTTCCACTCGAGCGGTGGCATGGCGTGAGATGTCACCTGACGGTCTCTTTAGCGTGTATCCGATTCATCTCCATTTTCTATGGAATATTTGTTGAGCAATAGGTTCTAGATTGGTTCACTTCCAGAGTTTCTTGTTGATAATTCTTTGTGGCCAGCCATCTTATCTTCAAAATGAAGCTAGCAAAGTAATCAGCAAGAAGCTCTGAACCTAGTCTTCGTGCCCATTGGCGCTAATTATCAAGACGTATCTCCAACCTTGAAGGGATTGATGTCTGCTACCTCTGAGAATGGAACCCGAGGCACCCAATGCTTCTGTCAGCGATGTTACCACTGAATCAGTTAGCTTGATGAAAAAAAATCGCTTAAATGACCAATAGAATTCAGTCAGTACTAATAAAAAGACTAGATACACGCTGTTTGTTATTTTCTGGTCACTAATCAGCGTCTTCATTATAGTCGTACAGGAGGTCAGTTTCGAAGCCAAACTGCTCAGTGATAGTAACGGCCCTGACTTCAACACTGAGGGAGGTTGGTCTTCAACTCAGAGGGGGTATCAGTTTCTTTGATGTTGCTAAAGCTGGGTTGCTAATTGCCTCTAGCCATGGAGAATATCGCTGATCTGTCATTACAGATGACTTAAACGATGCACGAATCAATCTTCAAACTCACACAGTTATCAGTTTTACAAGAATTAATGTATCGGCAAAAGACTATTGATTGTAGAAAGTTAAGTTAATCAGTATATTACTTGTTTGGAAACAATTAATATAATAATATATCAAAAGATCAGAAATATACCTGATCTTTTTAGAAGCTATTTAGGTCATTTTGTATTCAGGTTAATTTGCATTTCTTATTGATTGATATTGCTGGACTGAAATGTTCGGCTTCTGTTGACACGTCTCAGTGGGAACACCATCAGAGCCACTCACTGCGAATGGAGGAACATCCGTCTGACAAGTACCAAATTTAAGAAACAATGCTCTTTGCCACCATAAACCAAAATTACTGTATAAGTCAGTTAGCTTACATTTACAACTAGGAGACCGCTGTAAACTTATCTAGGATGTAGATAGAATTTTACATTTCATGAGCTTATTTCAAGTTTCTGGAGATGAACAAGCATACATATAAAATGTATCGTTTAATACAATTACAAAAGGTACTGTGTAAGTTGATTTGGACATGAAATTGACTGAATCAAAACATTCAAAAACTAAACTAGCGTTTCAAATATTACTGGTACTGAATTCAGTAATAATAGCTGTTTTATTAGCGTATCATAGTGTAAACTTGATACCGCATTTCCTTATATATGTCCAAACCAAGTTCACTTTTAACGGTTTGGAAATATTTGGGCATTGGGTATATGATATTCATTATAATAAAGGTTTTTATATTTCCCAATGAATGAAAAACAAAACGATATTGTTTTACTGACGTTTCGCTGTTTAATGCTAACAGCTTTATCAAAGTGTTATTAAACCGGAATTTACAAAATCTCAGCATATATATAACAAACAATTAGGGGGTGAGAAAATAGACTTAGGTCAAGTTAAAGGGACATACTGAAGGTAAAAATAGCAATGAAGATCACTAAACCAAATAACAAAGGTAATAGTATGTCTGTTATGATATCAAAATAAAGTTTACTAAATTGATCATCGTTCATCTGTCTGGGGGCACTTTTAGTTGTCAGGTTGGTCAATTGATAAAGATAATAAATCAAGTCTGGATTGCTGGATTTGATCTGTGTGTGAAATTATAAAAGTAGTGTGTGTTTACATAGTAAACTTGCTTATCACATTCGTGTTGATATTGTCACTTGGTGGGGGAGGGAGGTGTTGTAACCAGGTCAGATTCTGTTTTAGTCCATCATTCCTATTCAGGCAATTTTGATTCCACTTGATATGAAGTGCTTCTGATATTAGACGTTCTTTGTGATTTCTGAAGTTTTTCCGGATTATTTCAACACTGTCAAAATCAATTTTGTGGCCTGATTCTATAGCATGTAGACCTATGGCTGATGATTTTTCAAGTTTTTGTAGTTCAACAGGATTTCTCGGTGGTCGAAGGTGTCAAAATCATAGGTGTCAACAGAGATCAGTTATTAACACTATTTGGTAACAAAACATGCGAAATTAAGCCTCAGGAGGGAATAAATAGATAAACTGAGAAATTCAGTTAGGTAGTTCCATCTAATCTTAAGAAATTAACTGATAAATAGTTTTCAGAAACAACCGTCAGATTAGTACCATAAGCCCATGAAAACAGAAATATATTGTTAGTAGTAGAAAGAGATTCAGAATGTGTATAAAATATGCTTTAAAGTTGCAGATTTGAAAAGCCAGCAGCAGTAAAAGGTACTGAAAAAACCTCTTCTGTATGGCAGGAACTTCGCGTGTAGACAGAAAACGTAACCTGAGACCTTTCGAATGACTTGGTCTTACCGTATATTATCACTTTGAAGAATTTTTCTATTGATAGAGAATGATGCGTAGAAACAAACTGTTAAGGAATCGAACTGTTGGTTAATGATACTTCTTCCTTAGGCAACCATGTCGGAGAATGTTGGCGTGTACTGTAAGAGCCTAAAGAGAATATTCTTTGTTCTGGTTGACTTTTAACTTTCTCATTTGATACTAACTAATAAAATAAAATAATAAATAAGACCAATCAATCAAATCCCTACAAATCAATACTTGAATATCGATGAGATGCTTACTGGTGACTCGCCCTGTGCAAGTAGGTAGTTACCTGGGGTTCTAATGAGACGTCGTGACCAGTAGGGTGCAACAGGTCGGGTGTGAGGACAAATACTCGCCGAAGACATTGGCTAGCGGTTGCGCTATATCGTGAATTGGGAGAAGTTAGAATTCATGGGTTGGCCATAGGATTGGGTCCCAGTGGCTAAATGGTCTTCGAACTCGCCTTGTAGCCGGAAAGACCTGGGTTCAGACCCTGTTGGTTGCCACGTACTGGTGAAGAGTCCCAGACTAGGATTAAACAGCTGTCCAGTACTCACAGGTTTTCCAATGGTTCTCTAACCAATGTCAGCTCATGATGAAATCCTGTAATCAATCAGTTAAATCCCTACAAACCAATACTTGAAAAATTTACTTTGATATGAATGCAGATTACTCATACTTTTGATGAAAATATTAGTATATTTATAGCTAAAAATGTAGCTTTTTAAACAATAAAAGTTCGTCTCATTCTTCCGTCGTTAGGAAAATGGTTTTTATTATAGTGGCTTTCCTCTTCAGTTTTGTGAAAAACTCCCTTCATCCTCTTCTAAATTTAGACGGAGTATTGGAGAACAATAGCATGGCGACAAATACAACTTAATAATAATAATAATCAGGCACTAGGACTGTACGAAAATCAAGACCCATTTTCCAGTCTCGTCTAATATCACACATGTGACTCCGACACTGTTGGTTAAAACTAAAAAGAATTATATGTATGTACGCGTATGTAGCGTGTAGATTTTATTAAAATTTAAATTATACGCTTAAAATGACTCTTTTGTTTTCTTACATGGAAGTCAACAATAGCCATCTGTTCTCTATTTTCTAGACTGGTTCATTGTTATTTATTTTCGAGTATACACGGCCTACAAGTGAAAAATACACAATAATTTCACCTTCAAGTGATGAACCGAGATTAAATCTCTTAGATTCGTATTTATATACGTTTCGAGCTCTATTTTTACAATGTAAGTAATATCTCATTTGGTTAACCTATTTTTCATATGTTTATAATATTATTCATTGTAAAACTAATAATAATTATTATAAATTAATGCATTTCGATGTTAGTTTCATTATGGCTTTCTGTCTACTCACATTTTAAAAGGTTTCAAAGCTCTTTGTCTATTGAAGAACACAAGGCCATAAAGCCTTTGAAGTTTCAGTAGAAAGTGTTGTTTTGAAAGGGGTGAGGTTGCAAGCGTCGCACACAACATTTCGCTCTTTGCCCTGCCTTTCCATCGGCTAGGTAACGTTTGGGAGTGACTTAGGCGGTAATCGAACCTAAAACTCCCACTTTGTTGACAAGTACTGCACCACTGAATCCCCGAAACATACACTATTATTATTATTCCCTTGGGTTCTGAGTGAAACATAGAGCTTCAACAGAACATCTTCAGTTTGTCATGTTCTCTTCAGTCCTCTTTAGCTGGCTTGACAATTACGTGTAGGCTCTCATCTCCTCCTCACACGACCTCCTCCAAATTACCGCTCTTCATTCTGATTTCATTCAAAAGCCTGGAACCCACTGTCACCCGACAGCCTCCCCAGAGTGTCTCCGACTCTGTTCTCTACAGTCCTCTCCAGCCGACCCCACGATTAATTATAAGGTCTCATCTGCTCCTCACACGATCTACTCCATGTCACCCTAACATCCATGCCCAGTTCGTCATCTCCCACATGGGTTCCACTAGAGGAATGGCCTGGCACCCACCAGAGTGTGTCCAGTCCATCTACACTTTCTTCAAGATATTTGCACAGCAATTGGTTCTCGATTGGTTCGTTCATTTCAAGAGTTGCCTGCTGCTAATCCTTTTCGGCCACCTTTCTGAACTTCAATATGAAGCCAGAGAAGGCAGGTGCTGATAAAAGTCTGAAGCCTGCTAGAAACGCTTCTCATGACACCACAAGTTTCTGACTCATATAGAAGAACTAACTGAATTTTCTGCTTTATGCTGAATGAAGAAGATTTCCAGACTGATTTCACGGTGATGCGTATCTCTCTCTTGCCCTTCCGATTTTGGTTCTGACATCCTCATTGTTGCCAATTGCCTGTAGTTGAAACGATTCTTCTTAGATAAGTGAAAGAATTGACTTAGTTTAAGTCTCTCCTGTTGTTGTTGGTTGTCTTCATCACCTCCGTGGATTCTATTTTCACTTGAATTCATTTCGTCTCAGCTTGCTTCTTCTGCCAGTTTGTTGCTTCTCACCTGTAGGTCTTCAAGTGTGTGTGTGGCATTAGACATAAATCATCCGTGAAGTCCAGATCTTCTAGATTCTTCTTATCATTCCAACGTATTCCTATCTTGTCAACACATATTTATTTATATATGGTTAGTTCTAAATTATTGATTTTCGAATATGTTGTATTATTGATCTAAAGTCTATTGTTAGGCTAAAAAACAAGTTAATTCGTCTGAATAGTTTTTGGTACTTGCATGTTATCTCCGTTTCTGACTAAGCTCATAAATGATTAGACAAGGCATGCTTGTAACCAAAATGAGTACAGATATTCGGTAAAACACAGAACACTCTATTTCCATTTTTGTGTATTTCAGCGAAGTTTGAATTTTTTGTAAACAGAAACAGTAGTCTTTGACGAAAACTGTTAATTCATAACATTTTGTAAGAAGTGATTTCTTCAAAATAACATTGAAGATGTATTTTAAAACACTAGATATCCATCATTAAAATAATTTTATTTGGTAAAAGCATACACAGTGTCGTTTCGAGCACAATTTACTGCTCACAATCATATCACTGAGCTCACATAACTCCTAAACTTTATTTGCATTAATTCCAATTTTTCTTATCCTTTGATTTTATTGGTAGTAATATTTTCCATATATATATATATATATATATATGTATTGACGTAGATTGGGGACAGTCAGATTATATGAACATAAGAATTTAGCTTAGGGTAGAATGACTGACTAAACAAAGTCGAATGAGGAAAACTCAGCAATACAATACATGCACCAATATACAATCTCACAAGAGGATGTGACAGAGTTACAGTTCTCAAAAGTAATATAGGTAGGTAGAAGGAGAGGTTGATCACTGAATCTTTATTCATTGAATCTACACCTGACATGTGCAATAGGAATGATTCAAACACCAATATCAAAGATATGGAAAATATTACTATCAATAAAATCAAACGATGAGAAATAATGGGATTAATATAAAAGAAGTTAAAAAGTTATGCGAATGCCTTGATATGAGATTATGAGCAATAAATTACAGGTGGAAAGCAACAAACTGGCAGAAGAAGCAGGCAGAGACGAAAAGAACTCAAGTGAACGTAGAAACGACGGAGGCAATGAAGACAACCAACAACAGCAAGCACCGATCACCATCAACAGGAGAAACTTGAACCAAGTCGATTCTTTCATTTATCTAAGCAGAATCGTTTCAACTACAGGCAGTCGGCAAGGATGAGGATGTCAGAACCGAAATCGGAAGGGCAAGAGAGATATTGATTACCGTGAAATCAGTTTGGAAATCTTCTTCACTCAGCATAAACAACAAAATTCAGTTAGTTCTTCTATATGTGTCAGAAACTTGTGGTGTCATGAGAAGCATTTCTAGCATGCTTCAGACTTTTATCAGCACCTGCCTTCTCTGGCTTCATATTGATGTTCAGAAAGTTGGCCGGAAAGGATTAGTAGCAGGCAACTCTTGAAATGAACTAACCAATAACCGATTGCTGTGCTAATATCTTGAAGAAAGTGTAGATGGACTGGACACACTCTGGTGCGTTCCAGGCCATTCCTCAAGTTGGATCCCATGTGGGAGATGACGAACTGGGCATGGATGTTAGGGTAACATGGAGTAGATCGTGTGAGGAGTAGATGAGACCTTATAATTAATCGTGGGGTCGGCTGGAGAGGACTGTAGAGAACAGGGTGAAATGGAGATGTTCCGCTGAAGCCCTATATTTCACTCGGAACCTAAGGGAATAATAATAATAAAATGATCAGGCCCTATTTTTGTGTCAATCAAACATGTTTCATAAATTCATAATTTTTTTTCAGAAAACACCATTTCATTCATTCATTGTTTCTTAGAAGAAGTGAGAATACTTTGCTAGGAAAAAAAACAATTTATGCCTTTGTGTAAAATGTATGGATGATCAATAGTATCAAGTTTATTAAAACACTTAGGTTGAAGTGGAAAACGAAATGTTTAAGCTTGACTGATCACTTCTTGTTGTTGTTGTTGCTTAAAAGAAGTATCGTTGTTGTTGTTGTTAATTAAGTTACAATGATCAAACACATTCAGTATTAAACTAGCATCAACCTCAGAAATTAAAGAAACTAGGTAGTAGTGTGGCGTGTGCTACTGACGAGATTTACCAGTAGTATATTGATGCAGATTGACAGGAAGCCGCCAAAATTGAAATCTACATTTTTAGTGAATGGTTGTAGAGGTAGAAGTGTTTATTCTTCAAATCTGGAAGTAGTTTATTTTGTGGACATGAAATAATCTCATTGGACAGCTTTTCTTCTCATTGTCTAAACTTGAGCCAATCGCCAACCAATCAGATCAGTCTATTGTCTGTTGCCCTAACTGACCTTCAATGTGGTTAAAAATTTATAAATATGATGTTTTTTCCACAACAAGAAGGTCCGTTACCGATTCTCTTATCTTCTGCCATTTTTACTAGCAAAATTAACCATGAATATTCCTACTGATTTTTACATAGTTTCATCTATTATGGGATCTTTATTGACCTTCAGTCTATGAGTAAACACTGAATTTTCATCCCATTGGCTGATAGGTCAAAGTTTGGTCCCTGGCCGAGTCATGAATGCTTGCCGCTTACTGAAGAGTTGCAAATTAGGATGAAACAGTCGTTCAGTTTTCCTTAGTTTTCAGTGGTTCTCTAACTTCAAGTTAGTTCATGGTCCAAATTGAAGTAAACATTATGTTAGGATGAAATGTTATAGGTCACACAATTTACGCAAATAGGTATTTTTGGTCATTTCTTGTCAAGCTTCACAATTACATTATAAAATATTGACCATAGACGTTTGGGGCCAATGTGTTTAGTAGAATTAAAGTTCCAGGCAGTACGAGAATTAGTAGATAATAATCTACATGATATTAATAATAATAATAAAGATAAATTCACGCAAGTGTTTATATAATCTAGGTAGTCAGTCTTTGTGAATGTGTAAATAGAATGTGTAGTAGAGTGCCTTTCTATAGGAGATATGTAGATGACATTATTCTGATAAGCGATGATCATGAAGATATGAGTCGTCTACTTGATAGACTCAACTCCGTACAAAATCATGCGAGGAAGAAAGTCGTAACCAACTTACACTTATAGATATACTTGTGAGTTGGTGAGAAGGTGGCTTAATAAAGCAATCAATTTATAGAAAGCCTATTTGGACAGGACAATATTTAAATTTACACAGATTCTGTCCATTTACCGTGAAAGCGAGGCTTGGCGAAGTGCTTATTCAAGAGAATTCAGTATATTTGTACAGTTACTTATGGACACTCTTGCTGAAAACGGATATCCTTTAAAACTTTTAAACCGGTGTAGAAGTCAGTTAGTTTTAATGCCTACAATCTATTCCGCCGCTAAGAAAGATGTCTTCATCAAATTACCGTACAACGGGGCGAAATAAATATTAAGGTTTTACGACAGAGATTAAACTCGGTCATCCGTTGAACCCATCATGCCCGGCTTATATTTATCCAAAAAGCTAAAAATATGCTCCACTGTAAACCTCAAAAGTGCACAAGTGATTATGTCACATCTCACATTACATAATAATTCATGTGTGTGTGGCCACACATAGGCAGGAGTAATTGGGCTTTGCATGTGAGTGTGGGACAGCATTTCCGAAATGGTTAGAAAAACAACTGACTTTGGAAAATCGATAGACGCAGTTGGCAGACTACCAACTTCGTCTATAGCTAAACATCTAATCGATATGAACCACAAGATCGATGTCAAAACAGCTTTTGAGGTTATTTATAAAAACGGTCAAGGTCGCCTATTGAAATACGCTGAGATAATGGTTATTCGTATGCTTACGTCCCAATCCACCCCCTGTGTGTACAGAAACAATTTGTGATTGTTCTTAACCTACCTTGGTAATCCTTATCTGATTGGATAACCAAACGTAGTGTTAATTGTTCCAAAAACTCTTAAATCCTTCTTGTCACTTTGTGTACTTTAATTGCCCTTTATTTTCAAGTGTTGGTTTGTAGGAATTTGATTGATTTATTACAGGTGCGTGCAGATGAAGGGTCCCAAACTAGGTCGAAACAGCTGTCCAGTACTCTCAGGTTTGCCAGTGGTTCTCTAACCGATTTCAGCTGATGATGAAATGTCCTTTATTTTTTCATATAAATTGACTTGACAAGTAAATGTGTGATCAGACTGTGCAAATGCGTCACATTAATCAGATAATCTCCGTCTTCTAATAACACTATCCAGAATTTGTATACTTGTGGAGTAGAGAAGAAAATGACTAGTGTCTCGTAGTGATTGGATAATAATAATAACTTTTGAACCATAAGATTAACATATGCACTTGTAGCACAGTATGTTACTTATAAAATTGACAGTACAAATAAAGAAAATGTTTATAGTTATCTGATTTCACGTTAAAGATAAGTATTCTAGGTTGGGGATGAAGGCCACTGGAAGCCGAGGAAGTCAACAGACTTCTTCTAAAAAACATCTATTGAGCTGAAAATTTTCTATGGCAACTGCTTCACCTATGCTTAGCAGTGGAAGCCGTACAAAACTAGAGAATTGAGGTGGCACCTTGTGTATTTTTATCATTCTTGTGGTCTGTATCCACTAGATGTACCAATATGGAACTTCTGATTCACCTTATGATTCTTTTCTCTAACCACTTTGGACTTACGGAGTCCTTCTGCTGTCTCCACAAGAATAGATAAATTTAGAAATGCATATTGAAGCGGCCAAACTCAGTAGCTTATCCTTCAGCTGCATTGGGAATGTAGCGAAAAGGAAAACAGTTAGTCTGAATGAATTTCCTTTCGATAAATCATTTATATTGAACTACAAATACATCTCCCATATAGTCAGTGACTCATATGCTTGAGTCCAATAGTTAGATGACGCATACAGTTAACTGAGTCACACGATTCTCGCAAGGTCTTGTCATAGTTATCATTTCACCAAGTACTTCAAGTCTGTGAGTGTAGAAGATGAAACTAACACATCCTCACAGTATGCAGTTGTGTTTGCAATGTTCTCCAGTGAATGACGTCTTGATTTCCTGTTTACTAATATCCGTTGTTGGTACAGAGTTCAAGTCTGAAAACTCATATTCTCCTGTAAAACATATCTGGAAGTTTGCTACATACAAGCGGTCTTTACATTCACCATTTATTTTTATCGGTGCCTACTGAGACTTATCAGTAGTGTGTCCTTACGACCCTTCCAAGTGTCGAACTTTGGGCCTTCAGTTTACGACACCAAGGTCGTTAAACATTTAACCATTTGGGCCGGAATTCAATGATGTCTAAATTCTAACTCTATCAAAACTCTTCAAAATAAAATGAAATCACTTTTTCCTACAGAAATGGATGCCAGTGAGGTATTCCTCAAATGAATTCGTTTAAATGGTACTTACTCGTAAATAGCGTTAATGTGAAAAGTATCATTGATGTGTCTTTTCATTCATAACAAACTTGGTCAGGCTTACTATTTTGTTTTCGCCTACAAATTCCTTCCTTAGACAGAATTATACCTTAAGTAGTGATCTGATATGCTTTCAGTATATCGCTTTATTCTTTTTATAAACTGTAACGTGATCTCAACAGATGTGTTTGAAGTTATACATCAAATGTAAAGATATCCGATTACTTGAAAACACCTCCTTACTGTAGTAAATTTAAAACAAACAATAACGGTGAAAAAAGTAGTATTTAATGAAATCATAAATTTTCATGGGACTGGTCAGTTGAAAACTTTACAGATATTGTTATTCATACAATTTTAAAGGTTAGATACATACAAACAATGTTTGTAGTGTATTCAGCTGACCAGTTATACTGAAATTTATGATATTCAAGTGTTGGTTTGTAGGGATTTGATTGATCGGTTACAGGATTTCATCATGAGCTGACATTAGTTAGAGAACCATTGGAAAACCTGAAGGGAGTACTGGACAGTTGTTTCGTCCTAGTTTGGAACTCTTCACAGTACGCATCCACTGGGATTCGAACCCATGACCTTCTGGTTACAAGGCAAGCTCGTAGACCATTAGGCCACTGAGGACAAATACTCGCCGAAGACATTGGCTAGCAATTGCGCTATATCGTGAATTGGCATAAGTAAGAATTCATGGGCTGGCCATTGGATCGGGTCCCAGTGCCTAAATGGTCTACGAGCTTGCCTTGTAACCAGAAGGTTCTGGGTTGAAACCTTGGTGGTTGGTGCGTACTGATGAAGAGTCCCAGACTAGGACGAAAAAGGTGGTTTTCCAGTGGTTCTCTAACTGATATCAGCTCATGATGAAATCATGTAACCAGATCAAAGGATAGTTTCCGATTCATTTACGCATAAGTTTTACACACAATATAAGAGACATTATCAGTCTCTCATTTATCTACACCAAATGTCTAAAACGTTTTCCTTTTTTCATTTCTTCTCTTCTGAGCACAGTATAAGGGCTTAGGATTTACTCTTAGAGGTAGTGATTTTTTACTTTGAGGGGTGCAATTGCTGGCTTTACGCTCAACCTCCCCTCTTTTTCGAGCTTTCTACCTACCGGTACCAAACTAGGTGAGGTTTAGGAGTGCACCAGCTGGGAATGAGATACAGACCTGCTGCATGACTGGTGACAGTTCCGCCATTGAATCACTCACGTACCCGTCATGACTTCTGAGATAGCTAGTTACCTGGGGTTCTAGTTAGAAGTCGTGACCAGTAGGGTGCAGCAGGTAGGGTGTAAGGACAAATACTCGCCGAAGACATTGGCTAGCGGTCGCGCTATGTTGTGAATTGGCAGAAGTTAGAATTCATGTGGTGGCCATTGGATCGGATCCCAGTGGCTTAATGGTATACAAGCTCACCTTGTAACCAGAAGGTCATGGGTTCGAATCCCAGTGGATGCGTACTGTGAAGAGTTCCAAACTAGGACGAAACAACTGTCCAGTACTCCCTTCAGGTTTTCCAATGGTTCTCTAACTAATGTCAGCTCATGATGAAAATCCTGAAATTTATGAATTAATTAAATAAATTCAACATATGCTAACCGTATAGGACCAAACAGCACGATTTCAGCACGTCTGATTCAAACTCATAAGATAGTTTGAGCACTTCTCTCTAAGATTAATACTCAACTATGATCTTTGGTCTGTCATCATCCTGAGAAATTTAACAGTATTTCAGATGCAGTAATAATAATAATGGAAAAACATTGTAAACAGAAGAGGGAAGGTGAGGAAAATTATAAAGGCAATATAAAAGTATACCATCAAGGTAGATTTAAGTTAACTATTGTCTCCTTTTGTATACAGAGATCCGCCCTCTTTAATCTGATTGCTCAGGCTTCAGCGAAACCAAGAGCTTTTTTACTACATTGCTTTAATAACTACAAAAGTGTTACTCAGCGTCTCTGTATAATCCCAGTTCAATAAGTTTCATGTGATTGAGCTCCTTGGAATGTCATTATGAGAACCAGAAAGCCCTTTGGAGTAGTGCTCGGCAATACCAGTCGACAAACATGTTTCTGTACGCCCAATGTATCTGCTTCCATAAACACATGTAAACTGATATGCACATTTTGATGTGGTGTGCATCGATGTCTCATCTTTGCCTGTTACTTACACTATCCCCTTTGTTGTGGTTATGAGCAACATATCATCTGCATAATGGGTTAGTTTAATTGCTTCCACCAAACGACGTTTCATCAGTTGAGTAAGGTTATCTCCATAGAAACTTAACTTTACATAAATCTTATTTTTAGAAACAGATCCTTTAACCGACAAAGTTAATCTCTGTGTCAATTGATTGGTTTAAGTGTCACCCTAATTATAGCCTTGCTTGAAATTCTACTATTTGTCTCTGTTATTGTATTATTATTCCCTTGGGTTCCTAGTGGAACATAGAGCTTCAATGACACATATCCACTTTGTCCTCTTCTCTGCAGCGCCTTTTAACTGACCACTCGGTTTTCCATAAGCTTTCATCTCCTCCTCACACGATCTCCTCCATATTACCATCACACCTGGCGAGCGATTTCATGCAACGGTCTCTTCAGCATGTCTCCAAACCACCTCCATTTTCTTGGGTGTATTTATTGAGTAACAGGTCCTTGATCTGTTCGTGCTCGGATGTTTATGTTGGTAATTCTTTCGAGCTAGTCATCTGACCTTCGGTATGGAGCAAGAGAAGGCAGATTTTGATAAAAGCCTGCAGCTTTTTGTATGGCCATGGTACAAAGGCTTTGGATTCCATATTATTTATATCATATTCATTTATTACACTTTTCTTCTATACATTTTCAGCCTACAACAAATTACCAAAATCATGGGGTGGAATGACAATCACATTGTTTTGGCATGCTTTTTGCCTTATTTGTATTATTGCCTATACAATGGGTACATCAGAATTGATTTTCAGGCAATACACTGATGACAACATAAAAGCCAAGCCTTATACACAAACAGATCAAACTAATCAAACAATTTATTGTCGTTTAAATGACAGATTATGTCAGTATTTTGAAAAGAAATTTCAGTATCCAATAATAAAATGGTCAAATGTTCAACAAACACCAGAGATTTCCAATGAATCAGTGATACTGCTAACAGATCATATACATGCACATTATCTACAGACATTAAAAAATGATAAAGAGAATTGGGAATTGATCACACTGAAGTGTAATACTACTGAAAATGATGACAGTAGTATTATTGGTGATGAACAATTCAATGATATGCCTATAATGGAAATGGGATTTTTAACTTTCAGTGAGAAATCGCTATGGCAAATGAATATTTACCTAAAGGTGGGTAGACTTTTGGCTAATCCCCAGATTTTATTCATGCTTCATAACTTTAAGTTTATTAAACCGAGAAAGTTATTTTTTGAGGATGGTGATGATAAAAATGTTTGAAGTGTTTAAAATAATTCTGTAGACTTAGTAGCATATTTCTTTACGATGGAGGTTTATAGGTGATTCATTATGATTATTCCTTTGGGTTCCCAGTGGAATATAGGGCTTCAACAGCACATCTTCACGTTGTTCTATTCTCTGCTCTCCTCTTTAGCTGGGTCTACGATTGCCCGTAGAATCTCATCTCCTACCCATTTCACGACCTCCCCTATGTCACCCTAGCAAATATGACCCACCCTTCGCTTCTCATTGGGATTCCACTCGAGTGATAGCCTGCAGTGAACTCTATGTCATTCAACGGCCTCCTCAAAGTATGCACGATCAGTCCATCTCCATTTTCGGAAGTATTCTGGAAGTACTGGGCTAGGTGGGTATGTAGTGCTGAAGACCACGAAGAAACAGCTCTCCATTACTCCCAGGTTTTCCAATGGTTCGCTAACTGATGTCGGCTCATGATGAAATCCTCCAAACATTCAAACAAAAACAATACTTGAAAACTTAAGCTTTAGTTTCAGCAGTTTTGGGTGAGAAAAAGGCACTAGCGGATCTCGACTTCGTGGATGATTTATATCTACAGTCGCACAAACTTGAAGATCTAAAGGCAGAAGTGAAAGTGAAGAAAGGAATTCAAATAAAAATAGAGAAGGCAAAAATGATGAAGGTAACTAATCAAAGACAACAACAGCAAGCAGCAATAACCATCAGTTGGAGGAATCTGAAGGAGGTCACTTCTCTTACTTATCTAAGCACCATAGTTTCAACTGCAGGCAGACGACATGGATGATTTTGGTAATCTATAGCACTCAGCATAAGAAACAAGATTGGAATTTTCAAAGCTATTGTCAAGACAGTCAATGGTTTCATATGGTTCACAGATTTAGCTGAGGAATTAAAAATAGCATTTCCAACAGCCTACTTCAGAATTTCATAAACAGCCACCTTCACTTCATTTTCAAGGGAAAATAGCCGGTTGAAAAGGATTAGCAACAAGGAAATCTGGAAACGAACCAGTCAACAACTCATCACCTAAAAAATATGCAGCAGAAAACGAAAATGGATTGGAAACATACTGAGGGGATCACCGAGCGATGTCGTGCACCAACTACACCCCCAAGTGAAACCCGAATGGGAAGCGACGAGTTAGGAAAGGGTTGGAGGGTGAAGTGGAGATAATGTGAAGAAGCAATGGAAGTCTGTAAGAAGTCATGGTGCTAGTGAAAAGTGGTATATTAGAAGAGAGTGCAGTAGAGGTGTGTCACTGTGGCTTTGTTTTAACTCAGAATCCAAGGTAACAATAAATAACAAATAAATGACATCATAGAAAATAGTCATTAACGATAATTAATATACAGTAATGAATGTTCTTGATAGAGGTTCAAACTGGATTTCATTTCGGTCTGGTTATAAACTCTATGTGTGTGAATGATACCATCGAAAACATGGAGTGAAAGCATGGTAGACGTTTATTAGTGTCTCAGTTTGTAAGTGAATAACCAAGGCTAACACAGGGTAATTAAAGATTCGCTCATACAAGTAGAAAAATACAAAGGTAAATGAATCAGATAGATTTTAATAAAAAGTAACAAATAAGGGATGGCGGGCGGAATGTTTATGTATAGGACGAAAGCTTATGTATAATGGGGATGACGCAATAAATTATTTGAGAATTTAGATACTTCACAGTAGGTAAAGGCTGCAATAGTGGCTAGAAATGTTTCTTTTTTACACAAAGTCTTGACTGTTTTAAGCAAACTGTTATGGCTCCTGTTGTCTGTAGTATTTCGTACCTGATGTTTGTTGGCATTTTATTAGGTACATGAGAGACAACAGAGAAGGACTCCTCAATGGTCTGTTTGGATCAGATGTGTTAATATCGAACTGTTAATGTTCTTCTCTTACACCTTTATTTAGTCGCACTTAAGTTCCTAGAGCAGCCACTGACGTAACTGTTTTCACAAGAGCAGTTAAATTTATACATACGGGAAGCGATACCTAGGTGAAGCACTTTGTTTGTAAGATCTAATATGACAGCAGAGGGTGAAGAAGGCATTTGTTATAGCTTACCAATATCAAAAAGTTTTCAGAATCAATTTCCTTAAGCTGGCTAAATAAAATTCAAACTGAACCTTAATCATAAGCGTTCATTGCTTTGTATTCATTGTCGTTCATGATTATTTGATATCTGACGTTTAATTTAGTGTTCCATTTAAACATATTGTCACGCAAACTTGTTTTTAACTGTAATCTGGCAACAGTTTGCCCAGATTGCCTTCTCGCATGTTTGATCTTAATGATTTGATGTATAGTTCGAAAACATTATTGTTGTCAACATCAACTATTCCTTAACCATTATATACGTATATAACTATTGAACCTGAAGTCATCGTAAAAACAATATTCTTCGTTCACTATTCAGTCCTTTGCGGTTCTATATAATATCTTTCAGAATTAATGTGACTTTCTCAAAATGTATTATTCTTTGTGCAAAAGCCATTCCAACAATAAAGTGGAAGGTTTAGACTACAATTCCTGAAAACAATTTAGTTTACGACAAGTTCATCAAACGCTAACCAGCGTAGGGGAGTGATTATTAATATATATCATAGTACATCATCACTTTAGATCAATCTTTTATAAAACGTAGTATAAATTATTTAATTCAATGTTAGATTTTCCCGTCAATTGACTGAAGAGAAGTACTTGGTCTCCAGTTGACGTGTCGGCTCCTTGTGCAGATGCTTCGACGATGTCTGGACATGTAACTGGAAGTCAGTCGGTGGATGGTGACTGGCAGTAGAATTCTGGATGCGCATTTCGTCCTATTTTGGGACTTGTCTTCTGGATGTACCTGCATTTCCCAGTCATTGAGGGATGATTTTCCCACCAAGGCTCAAACCCAGTACTCGTGATTTCAAACGCCAAAGTGTTGTGAACTAGACCACTTGGACCACGAGAGCCACTTCCTGTGTAGCGGGCCATATTAATTATTTAATTCAATTTTAGACTTACCCGTCGATTGATTGGACCGAAGTTTTCGTTCTCAGGTTGACATGTTGACCCACTGTGCAGACGGTCTAGTGGATAGCACTTTTGCTTTTGAAACCATGGGTACTGGGTTCGAGCCTCGGCGGGAACATCATCACTCACTAAGGAATGCAGGTACATCCAGGTGATGAGTCCCAAATAGGACGAAATAAGCATCATGGACTCCACTGCTAGTCACCATCTACCAATGTAGTATAAATGTTAAACAATGAGCACTTAATGAGTATTTGAGTACTGTTTACAACAACACCTCTAATAGTCTCATTGTAGAGTTCTTTTCCAGTAGATCCTACATTTCTGTCATGTCAGTGTCTCCATCTAATGAGGTATTCTGCAATTTTGCATAAGATATTTCCTCTTGGGCTTGAACACTTACAGTCTTGACTTCATAGAAGTTAATTCACTATCAAGTTATCCGTGTTTTGATTAACACCAACGACTATACAGTTATACTGTATAGTTCTTGATCGTAAACCTCTTAATTTAACTGCTGACATATCGTCACTGACGTTTTCAGTCAATTGACTCAGATTTTAATTTAAAAGTGCACGTTATTATCTCATATTTTTATACATTTACCGTTAACAAATGTCAAGTAAACATGGGAAGTAAATAACACACTGTTTCCTATCAACTTCCTTTTTAAACTGAAACAAAAAGCAACTCAGGGAAGCAACAGTTTTTGATCGGTTAGCCTAGTTATTATATGTCACATCTGAGATAAATACATTCCTGATTATTAGATGATTGTTCTTTATACAACCAACCCTCATTCAGAAGAAATAATATTAACCTTTCCCAGTCTTACTACACTCTAAAATTCACTCATTTTAAGGGAAACTACATTTATCATTTTGTAGCATTTGAGAATCCAGAGATGTACATTCAGTTATATTACTAAATTCAGAAAGTCTCAAAACGTCTTTGACAAGATGACTGAGACATAAGGCGACCTGTTGGTACTAGATGGTTGGAGGCAATCGGCCATAGGAAGCCTTGGACCTAGGTTTCGTGCTAGTTGGCACTCAGCAGTCAACAAGGCGTATCTGCAACCTTGTAGGAACTGATGTCCCTTCTGAGATTCGAACACGCGTCACCCAGTGCTGCAGTCAGAGACGTTACCACTGAGCTATTCAGGCTCGCGACTGTTCTCCTGTAGGACTGTATTGAATATTTTTGATTGCACACTAGTCAGTAACTAGTGTAATGTGCCTGGTCCTATCTTCGGTGCAGACTGAATTCTATCAGTCATGTTTGCAATGTGGCCACCATGCTAGGTGACTCGCCATTACGGTGCATATGACTGATAGAATTCAGTCTGCACTGAAAATAGGACTAGACACATTACACTAGTTACTGACTAGTGTGCAATCAAAAAAACATAAGGCGACTGTCAGAGAACTTAGACGTTCTTAATCCAGTCTGATGTACAATTATGCGGATAATATGTTGTGAGAACAGTTTCTGGACTTTCAAAAGCCTTCAATTTTTTTATCCTTTAATGTTTCTAATGGAACATACGGCTTCAAGCTAGAGCTTTGAATTTTCCCTCTTTACTAGTCTTATTACTGGCTTAGCGAGGTAAAGGAGTACGTCGTCCGGGGATCTAATCGAGAACGACATGCGTGGTTGGCGAGCATTCTACCGCCGTGCCACCAACGCCCAAGCCTTCAGTTGGTATTCAGTATTGAAGAATCTTGTGTTGGTGGTTTGATGGTAGACTCCTCATTAGCCTCGTGGCTGACCAGGGTTCAGTTCGCAGTCGGCTCACTGCCAAACCTTACCTGGTAGGTAGCAAACCAGAAACAGTAAGGTAGGTTGGATGTGAAGCTAGTAATCCTACCCAGTTAAAACAACACTACCTCTATTGAAGCGGTTAACCTTAAACCTTCAATCTTTATGTTTCATTCGAACCTCAAAGGAACAAAACAATAATTGAAAATTCACTTTAAAAATAGCCACTGTCAAACAAATAGTCGCTCAAATTAAAAAAAAAACGAAAAATTAAATTCGTTTCACGTATTTAGTTTAAACAAATCAGTCTTTGTTTTTGTCCAAAAGAATAAACAAATAACAAATCTGCATATTATGTTAATTGTTTAATTTTTGCCAGGACAACGTAAACAAAATTAAAACTTTGTTATCCACCAATCATATCTCTTAACATTATTGATTATTTCAGCATGATGTGTGTAACTGCTGACACACCTGCTGATGACATCCAAGTGATTCTCATTGTATATGTTATGCAAAAGGATGGTGTTTTGAAGTCAGGAGCTTGTGTAAAAACATTTAAACAACCTTTACAGGTTTGTTACTTTAAAATACACTTCAACAGTTCAGTGGTACATAATGTAACTAACTGTATCTGGATTAGGTATAAAGTTAGATCACAGACTGACATCACTTAGAGAGCTATTGTAAACCAAGAAGTTCTGGACAACTGTCTTGACTTACTGAAGACACCATCAGCGTTGGAACCCACAGCCTTCAGGTTAAGAGGCCAACTTGTTGACCATTCAACCAATGGGACGGAGACCAAACGCCCATGAGTTTAGACTTCTGAGATTCCATGATTTATATCGCTACTGTCAGCCAATGACATCGGCGAGTATTCGTCCTGACAACAGACTTGGTTGGTCAGGATTTCTCACTAGAATGATAATACTGACCGGCGGTGGCGATATATATCGTGGACTGCGATAAATTGGAATTCATTGATTACTGGATTCCATCCCAGTACTTGAATAGTCAGTGGTTACACATGATGACCTGAAGACCGTAGGTTCAATCCCCAATGCAGCCACAGGTGCGTGCTGCTGCAGAGTCCAAAGCTAGGTCGAAGCAGCTGTCCCACACTCCCTGGTTATCGAATGTTCTCTAACTGCAAATTAACTCTTGTACCACATTTCTTTTATTTTAATCATTACTTTTGATAAAAAATTTTTTGTTTTACTAAAAATAGAGCTATAAGTGACATTTAGTAAGAACGAAGAATATTACAGGTTGCTCGATGATTCGAAGCTGAATTCATCTCTTGACTAACCATAGGTAAAGCCAATGAAGATTCACTTTACAGTACAATCCATTTGTTGTTGAATAGTTCCAGGTATTATATTATGAATTCGGCTTTCAAGGAGGTCAACAGAAAACAGGAGTTCTAGTGTGTTACATTGATGCAGGCGATTGGCAGGAAGCCCTGAAGCCAGGTTTTTTGCTTGTTCTTACTCGAAGAAACTGATATTTCCTGGGAGATTAGAACCTGATTGATAGAATGCAGTCAACACCAACATGACACCGGTTACTCGCTAGTAACTGATCAATGAAGTTCGAGTCTGTTTTTCAAATATTCCTAATGTGATCAGTATTTGTTCTACAGACTTATTTTGTGTACTAAAATAAGCCGGCCTCAGAAATCACAATAAAGTGCATCCAACCATATATATAAGGAATGTTTCTGAGGTAACAGCTAAACTACTAAAACCACTTGAAATAGATATAGCACACAAAGTGACACGATCACTGGATTCAATACTACGCAGACCAAAGGAACCAAATACAAAAGAAGACAAGATGAACAGTGTCTACAAAATAAATATTTATGAACTGTGAGAAGCACGACATTGGTCAAAGCGGACATTTCCTTCGACTTTGAATCCAGGAACATAGACTAGATTTGAAAAAATATCATTAAGGTAGGCGCAGAACTGGGCACTCTTGAAGAATGTAATTCAACATTCGATAAGTTTATTTCAAATATCACATAGTGACGCAATATTATTAAATGGATGACGTTTCGAGCATAAATTATTGCTCATAACCATATCAATTCAGTCACACGACTTGACAATTTGTCTTATATATTTCTCTCTCTTTCTCTCTCTCTCACTCCATCTTCCCCTTGTTTTCCGTTGCAAATTCCATATCTTCGGTACAATTCAGCGAGCATATAAGATTTTTTTTTTAGTGAGTCAGTGACTCAGCGGTAGGTTGCTCCGCATACACGCTTGATCTCCTGGTCAGATTCCCGGCAGATGCTATCCTAAAATGCACCAATAGTTAGCGCCGAAAAGAGAAAAGGTCCCACCTGAGGCTAGTAACCTCAGTTTCTTGAAAAATAACAACGGAATTACCGCTATCAAGGGTTTTGAAGTATAGTGCTTGAAGCTTTGTGTCCCCAAGAAAAAGAAAGGAATGGACGAAAAATGTACTTAACTATTCTGAGATCTAATGTTATTAATCACTTTAATTGTTTTTTATTTTCTATTAGTATTTGGAAGATTCTGGAAAACTGCTGGCCAAGGAAGAATTCAAAGGAGAACAAATCTTTAGTTTCCTACCTAAATCTCAAGTGTATGCCAATTTGTGTACAGGCAACAAGGATGATTTTAATGGTAGAATACCAATTCGTTTAAAACAAATGAATGGAGTACTAATATTCATGATTGTTGGCGGTTTTTGTGGAATTATAACACACTTATGTGAATATATTTACTACATGGTTATGAATCGATAATCTCTATTAACTTAATTTCGATGTGTCATTGGTGTCATTGAAATTGTCTATTGCTTTCCAACTTTTTGTTTAAAACGAAGTAAACTCTTATGATAGAGAAATTAATCTGACCGCTTCCATTCCACATACAGTTGGCAGTAGTTGCCTAGCAACTCTTTTGTTTTAATGTTTTCATACATATTTTTTTAATACTGGCAATTAATATTGCTGATATTTTGATTGAATATATGTGTGTATTTGATTATCCCAATATTAGTTCCGTTTTCTTGCTTTCCTTCTGTTGGTTGGATAGGATATAGAGATCAGTATGATATGATAGAATTATGTGTACAAAAATGATGGTAGAATTCAAAAGCAAACTTGAATTGAAACAGGACTCAGATCAGAAAAGTATTTATCACTGCAGCACGTTAATGCATCGCGTAAGAAAGGAAAATCACAATATAAGAGCTAAATAGTAGCTAGGTTTTATGTTAGATAGTCGGAGGTAATCAGCAGAAAGCTCACGATCAAGGTGTGGTGTTGGTTGGCGCTCGATAGCAAATAGTGCATGCGACGTGGAAGGAACTAACGTCCCCTCGTTGATTTATACTCGCTTCATACAGTGCTGCAGTCAGAAGCATTGCCACTGAATTGTTTGACCTCACTATTGACCTTAAAGCTTAAAGCATAGAAGAGACTTTTGTGAGAAAACGTCAACCTTCTGTAGTATTGCCATATATATCTAAAAGGAAATATTAATTTACAGCTCACAGTTATATGAATGAAAAGTCATTTTTGTCTCATTGTCTAAATTAAACGGTCAGTTCAGAGAGTTTTTAGGAGCAGATTAAGACTTTAAAAACAAATAACATTAGTTTGCAATATTTGTATTATAGATGAAGTATTCAGGTATAGTGTCCCTGAGAGTTGGGTGGCATCAAAACTGAGACATTGAAATTGATTAGGCAGCGTAAACCTATAATCTGTCCTCTCAGCTTTGCTAAGATTCTTATAAGGCAGTTAGCTCTACAAGTAGTGATTTTTATAGGTCGTTGAAGGTTACATCAGTTTTATTCACTGGAGATCAGGGGAATATGTCAGTTTATCCAGATACACAGGTCGATGACTGTCAACTTTATTATGTTATAAGATGAAAGAACAAACTTATCCTCTTCTAACTTTCATATGGCAAAATGATGCATGAATTATTTCCCCAAAATGATGCTACTAAGGCATGTGCTACTTACAGAAATTTATAAGTAGTATATTATGCATGGCGTCGGTGGCACAGCGGTTAGGACGCTTGCCGACCATGCACATGGTCCGGGGTCCGATCCCCGGCCACCGACACACTCCTTTACCTCGCTAAGCCAGTAATAAGACTGGTAAAGAGGGAAGGTTGGGCAAGAGGCCAACAACTCCATCCCGTAAAAATAAACACTGCTAGAGAAACTTCAAGCCTGTAGCTTGAAGCCCTGTGTTCCACTGGGAACGTGAAGGAAAAAAATATTATGTATGACATCTTCGTCAAAACTACTGAGGAGTGGGGTAATCGATTAGGTTGTAAAGAGGAGAAATGAAATATCTTTGTGAAACAATACAGATAGTTTGAAATGAAGACAAAATAAGCACAATACGCAAAACATGTACAAATGAATATTTCAATGCAACGTTTCATCATTTTGTCAAATAAGCAGTCCTTATATTAAATGCTGACATGTTCTGACGTTACACTATTCTACCTTCTTAATATTATCAAATGGATATGATTACATTTGAATAACTGATAGGTGCTCTATTAAAAAGCTAATAACTCAACGAAAACCAGTGAGTAGTTAATTGAACACACGCTTTGCGCTTGTTTTGTGGATTTGAGAAGACTTTCTACTCAGCAGCATATATATACACATATATGTTAGTGACATTTCTGTTAATTGAGAAAATATATTTAACTTGTTAACACAGCAGCTGAGTAACTGAGATATGCATAATTAGTGAAAATCCGAAAACTACAACTTAAAGTCCTAAGGATATATATTTATATTTGACTAAATTAATTTATTTGTACACTGTTAAGTGACTTTTCAAGAATATATTTCAGCGGTATCAATAGGCATTATAGCAGTTTTCACTGCCGGCAATTGGCTGCATGCGCAAAACACCTAATCTTAATTTTTTTAAGGGAGACAGTTCATCACAAAATCCATGACGCCTAAACCAGTAAAACCGCCCACACCTTCTGCTTCTAAAATATCTCTGTACTTGAATCTACAATTCATTTTAGACTGATTGACAAAACTACTGAGAAACCGCCTGTCTAGCTCATTGGAGAAAACGTTATTTGACGCATGAAGATGAAGGATATACCACTGCTGACCTCATCGGTGTGTATCTGTCAGTACATCTATCAGAAGTACCCAGCGTTTGCTATCCAAATGTATCACCAACCACTTACCTTAATGGTCTTATAAATGAGAGAAAAGACCCCTAGAACACTTGATCAAATCTGGACACCAAGTTAACCTACAAACCAACTTGAGGGTCATCTACAGAATACACGGGAATTTCGTTAAAAGAGTGAGAATCAAACTTCTTCAAACCGCGGAAGCAATGGCAATTCATAAGTTGAATCCTGAACTCTGCATACAGCATAAGCTTGTCCAGTCACTAGATCTGCAATGAACCTGATCCGTCTTAACACCTGATACGTAATGTGTTTTTGTTTCGTAACTGTATTTTTTATCCCCTCATCCCCAATAAATTTTCATCCCTTGTTACCACTGTTGTTAAATTTACTCTCAATCAATTTCAGTTAAATTCTACTCACTCCCATCAGTTATATTACTTCATTCAATTAACTCCTTCAATTTATATAGTTTCTATCCGATTAAAGCTTTTCACACTACGCAATTTATTATCTAGAATTTATAATTCTAATGACACATTTTTGAAAATATGCCTTTTGTTGATAAGAAAATTTACCATATATATGAGACTGTACAACTTGAGAATGATATCGCATAAAAGACTGACTGTTCGCTGAACATCTTCCTTTCGTATAACTCCGTGCGGCTTCTTAAGCTGGAGCTGCAATCATGTATACGTATAAAAACGTTTCTTATTTTCCTGCCATCCCTCTTTATCATAGTGCTGCATCAAATGACAACCTAACAAAAAGAACTACTGTGCTTTATTTGCATACTGAAAAGAGACTGATTACGTAAGGAAGAATAAGACTGCATGAAATTTTATTCGCTGAAGCTGACTTGTATCTCTTGGTATTCGATTAAGCTGAACCGATATATTTGGTCTGTTTTGAAACATCGGCCCTTAGAACGAATGCTTCTGCGATGGAAATACTGGGAACGTGGCTACTTACTGTAAATGTTAGTATATCCAGCTAACGAACCGGAAATGGAGTGAAACATCTGTTCTGGATTTTACTCACGTATGAATAGAGAAACACCACAAGTTGTTACAGTCGTTGACCTATTTTGGCAGACACACCTATCATGAATCTCGTAAGTAAGGTGATGACACTGAAAGCTGGAAAATTGTTACAGATTTTCAGCACTGAACTAAAGAGCAACATGAAGACATATACAATGACTGATGATGCCGTCTTCTGTAAATGGTCCTCCACCAACACTATCGCACTAGTGACTGCCTGTAGTGTATATTACTCGGCCATGGATGGTGATTCGAATCTCATCAGGATGTTTGATCGCCACCAGTCTCTTCGGACTAGCTACCAAATGATAAGTTATCGTTGTGATTTGAGTTAGAAGTGGCTGTTACTAATTGACATAGCCGGTCAAGACAACCAAGACGCTGGATACATACAGTTAAATAGTGTTGCATAAAAAGTTATCCAGCAGACTGAAAGACATTCCGCTGCTCCAAATAGATGTAAGGTCGAAGGTAACATTGTTTTGCTTTGTATCATGCCATGTTCAAGCTCGCGAATTTTACACCAGTGACGCTGTTAAATTGCCCGCTGGGAACCAGCCGTTGCTAGTAAAGCTATCAATGTGTACTTTCCACCAGAACAACAAAGTGACTTTTCTGTTGCTACACATACCTCTCCAAAGCATGACATCATTTTGTTACACATCTATGATACCGAGAGCGGCACTTTATATATATATATATAAATAGTAGAAGCAGTGAAGCCATTTTCGTTACTGCCCCTTATGAAACAACAGCCTGTATTATTAAAGTTGACAAAAAGGGTCAGGTACCGTCTATCAACACTGATGAAGACACAGTCATTAGCTACATAACCACTACATTAGATAATCCTAAACCTGTACTGCTCATGGTTAACAGACGCGATTTTTCTTGAGCGGAGGACATATTTTTTAGAGAGTGTGACTCTTCATTCCCGGAGGGTTAATGCAGTGAAGCTGCAAACACATCAACGTTATCGATAAGTTTCAAGTGCTCCTAGGCAAGCATCAGAACTATTACAATTTTATCTGACCAAGGTCAACTAAATAAGTTCAAAAGTCTAGAGCTTTGCAGGGCAGTGCCATAACAACATAGAAAACAGCTACTGTAGAAGTGGTTATGGGGAGATGGTGAGGCCTTCCCCTCTTTAACTTGTAACCTGAAGGGGGTAAGGTAGATCCTCGGTGGTGTCATGTGTGTGTTGACTGATGAGGAGTGCTAATCTAGAACGAAACAGTCACTAATGGTTCTTTAATATGATATCCTTTCGTTACCTAATCGATTGAATTGTTTCAACGTGAACCTACAAAACAGCTTACATGACATAATTAGTAAGAAAATGATCACAACAGTATACTTTGGTTGATAAATCCAGTGCACTGAAATCTTCTTCTATGCAAAATACATATCACGTTAACACAAAACTTCCTCATGATAAGTTAGAAGGCGAAGACGGTTGGAAAAATAATTGGATAAAACTCCCTATTGAAAAACAGCTAGGATTTCAAGCCTATCCACGGACTGACATCAGTTAGAAAACCATTGAAAGCCAGGGATTACCGGACAGCTATTTCGTTTTATTGCTTCGGACTCATCGGTGGTGCGCACCCTCCACAGGGGTTTAGCCTAGAACTTTCGTATTACACGTCAAACTCGCAGACCATTCAGCCACTGGGAGCCAACTCCGTGGTCCATGAATTCTAACTTCTACCAATTTGTGATTTTAGCGCGACTGGCACCAGCCAATGTCATCAGTGAGTATTTGTCCTCACAGCTGACCAGGTAGAGCCCACTGGTCAAAACTTATAACTAGAGTTGGCTTCCAGTGGCTAAAT